ATTGATACACGTTTTTTTCATGAGGTCTTCAATTGGAAGCTTGTCATGCGACATTTCATTGTACAGTTGTCCTGGCGCCTGATAACACTTAAGGCAGGGTCCAATGTCACAAGGGGCAAACCACATTTGTCGTGGGGGTGGGCAATCTTGGGCAATGCTTGATCTTTGTATTAGGCTGAGGGCGTCTAGGGTACAGAGCAAGCACATTACGTGCATGGAGAGGCAGTAGGTAGGTAGGTAAGGTAGTGGTAATGTCCTTGCAAAGAGAGCGAGAGATACGGAAGCGTAGCGAGCGATAATGGGCGAAAGCCGTGAGGCTTTCCGTCCCGGCAGGGTGATCCAAAAACTGTGGGCAAAACGAGATGAGCTGCGAAGGTGGGTGGGATAAACTCACCCGTGCAGCGTGTGTCTTGCTTCAGAGCAGAGGAGTCCTCCTGCGCGGGAAGCGTGCGGGTGCTCGATAGGCTGATGCCGATAGAGGTTCTTTTGGGAGTGGAGGGTGGGGAAAAAGAACTGGCCAGTCAGACGACCTCAGAGGGGTGGTGACTGTCGTGGTAGAAAGAGAGAGTGATTTCTACCTAGACCCTGCACTCGTACCTCGCTTCGTTTCAGGGCAAGAATCTTTGTATTAGGCTGAGGGTGTCTAGGGTACAGAGCAAGCACATTACGTGCATGGAGAGGCAGTAGGTAGGTAGGTAGTGGTAATGTCCTTGCAAAGAGAGCGAGAGATACGGAAGCGTAGCAAGCGATAATGGGTGAAAGCCATGAGGCTTTCCGTCCCGGCAGGGTGATCCAAAAACTGTGGGCAAAACGAGATGAGCTGCGATTCCCGAGAGTTAGGAGTCCTGCGACGCGTCGAGCGAGTCTCGGAAATAGTGTTCGAAAGTCCGGTTAGGTCCGGTTATTGGGTGCCCAGGGGCTCTAACCGAGACCGAGACCGGTTAGCCTTTGTCCCGAAACCTAAAATAACCTAACCGGACCGGTTACGGTCGGTTATTTGCAGTTACTAACCGGTTAGGACCGAAAAATAAAGAATTGGTTATAACAAGGCAAATATGGTCATATGTATCTTGATAGATATTATTTCTGCATATTCTAGCTTTAAAACGAGCCCAAGAACGCTAAAATCGGTGAAGAATTGACATATTTATGCAATTATCTACACATTTGAGTGATATTTTAGAGATTTGACCGTAACTTAGTCAAATTTTAAGCGTTTTCGATGTTCTCAAGTGCGTTTTGAAGGTGTATCATAGGGCTGGTTATAACTGGTTATTTAACGGTTAGTTAACCACAAAATAACTGGTTATTCCATTTTCAAAATCAACTAACCCTAACTGCGGTTAGGTTAGTGTTGCGGTTAGGTCCGGTTATTTTCTGGTTATTTTCTGGTTAACTAACCTAACTTTCAAACACTACTCGGAAACCACAACACTAGGAGCAGGGCAGGGGTGACTTACCATGGAGTGGAAAGCACACTACCTCCGGATGTGTGGCATGGTGAGCTTGATGAAACTTTCGTGCACCTCTGGGACTGCCTGCATGTATGGGGCGAGGATCTGTGCATGTTTTGTCAAGTAGATTAGAAAGGCGTCACTGGCCCAACGGCCTTTGACCTTCATGACCTCAAAAGGGGTGCCCCTCAGCAAGTATTCCAGTGTCGAACCGATGCGAATGCCATGCCCTTGACGTGGGTCCAGACCTGCCTTCCTGGCAGCTTCTGCCACTGTGCGAGTGAATTCTGTTTTCGTGAGAGGGCAGAAGCGGCTGTCTTTGAGGTAGGAGAAGAGGTGGGCATCAGCAGGGGGCTTGTTGATGGCTAGGTGGTGTGCGAGGGCTGCCTCTGGGTCAGTGCCGTCCATTTGCTTGGACCAGGAGACGTCCTTGCCTTGGGGAGAGGTCTTGGTCTTGGGGATGTGAAAGATGGTGGAGCGGAGACCGTTTCGGTCATGCTCAATTCGGACGTCAGAGGGTTTGACGTGTGCACTTGGGTCGAAGGCCCTGAGGTTTGGGACCGTGAATTCCCCCAAGCGGGCAGTGGCATAGAAAGCAGTGGTGAGGCAGCTGTATACGGCCACGTCTCGTGGTTTGTCCAGCTGCAGTTGCCCTTTTACTGCAAGTATGAAAG